ATGATGAATTTGAGATTTTCATTTGTTGTCATTTGTAATCATCAAAATTAAACCAAATAAACATCTGAAATATATGAGTTTGTATGTAATGTATGAATATAATATACAAGTTTCACTTTTTAAATGGAATTACTGAAATCAATCTACTTTTTCATGATATTCTAATTTTATGACCAGCACCTGTAGAAACACAATCAAAAATAGAATGACAAATTAAGTCAATACTTGAGTCAAACCTATTATTAATCAGTGCTTTAAGAAAACTAAGGATAATATATCTGCTCCATAACATATTGGACAACCATCTGCTGACCCCAGATGCTGATGGGTAATTCTAGCATTCCTGTTGTTTAAATTAGACTCCATTTACCACTTCGTTTTAGCTGTAGAAAAAAATCAGATGGTGAGAAAATATAAAAGACAACACAGATGGAATGAGATGAGAGGTAAAAACAAGTGAAGGGAAATGTTTGAGATTCCAACAAAGGAGAAAGTAGTTCAGAGCTGCTGGCAGATGTGTTGTTTGTTACCAATATGATCAAACTCTGCCAAGAGAGACAGAGATTGGAAACTAACTGGATTTATTCCATCCATGTGTCATTTTGGATGATTTAGAAATGAAAAATCGGATAGAGAACATGATGTCTGCTGTTACTGAGCTTCCTGGTGCTTGTTGAACAGTAGGATTCGAACCTAACTTTAACTGAATGCCGATGTTTCAGTGGAGGCTGAGGCAAAGTAGAGCCTCCAGCTGTAGAGACACAAGGGCATCAGCGGGGGAATCCCTTTCAAGAGTACAGGAATACATTCCTGATGAAGTTCATCAAAGATTTACAGCCTTACAAATCAAATTTTGATGCACAAGTCGGCAAGAGGTTTTTTATGAAACGTATCTTAAAGTTTCATTTAAAAAATATGTTTTAATTAATTTTAATTTTATATGTGCAACAGTGTTTCCCCGCCCTGATCAAATATCAGGACTTTCATAAAGATGGTTCTGTTAGCTTTAACATTTTTTCTTTGTCCTTTGCAGAATAAACCGTCTTATTGCTCAGAAAGTCACTCTGCAAAGTAACTTCACTAAATCAGGATGAGCTGTTCATTAGTTGGTGTATCTGGACGTTCATATATAAATCTATTAAATCATAAATCTTATCACACTATATTGTAGTACATCCTAACTGTAAAGCTGTGACTGCATGCCTGAGCAATCAGAGCCCCACAATAACAGACACTACAGTAGTTACATAATGAAGTGGGATTTATATTACTAAGCATCCCATTCTGCCTCTATTCTTAAAATTTGGCCATTTCCCAATGGGAAAAAAAATGAAATCAGGAAATATTCAAAAGTCACAATTCACCAATTTTTTTTTTATAAGAACTTATTTTAATTTATTGTTAAGACAATAAATTAAAATTGTTATGATGAGAAATGTATTAATTCACCCTAAAACTTAACCAGATTTCACTTGTTCTTCTCATCCTCTCCCAAAAAATAAAAATAAGTGATTGATGCAACAAGAGGATGAGATTAAGTCCCTGAAATTAAACGATGCTTTGATGCATACTTCAAATTACCAAAAACAAAACACTAGCACTTACTTTTGCCAGATGCTGAAACAAACCGATCAGGTTCCTCTGGATAGAAAACTGCAGTAAAACGTTTTTGATTTTAATTTTTTTAAGGCGTATTTGCACTTAATTTAAGCAGGTAAATTCGATTACCAGTGGGATTAGTATTTTCTTTCCCTCAAAATTAGATTATTAGACACTATGCACAAGATATTCTTTTTATATTCAAAAATAATCTCATTCCACTGAAATTATCTTTATTAGCTGCTTAAAATCAGGTAAAATACAGCATTTTGAGAAAATTTGACTTCCTTACAAGTTCCATTTTTTGCAGTAGCTAATGGTGAGCAGTCATCCTTCCAGAGGTCACACCCTCATTCTTTTATGGTCAGCTAAATATTTACTTTGTTGTCAAATGGATACTTAAGTAGGCATGCTTACAAAGTAAAAACAGTTATTTTGGTTTGCTTGACTTTGCAGAAATTAGATCATGTTTGGATCGATATATACTATAGTAAAGTATCAGTATCTTATTATACCCTTTTTGACTTGGGGAAAAAAAAAAAAAAAAAACAGTTTTAATATATTTCTCTTGGCTTTATGAATTATAGGTCCTCTCAACCCTCTGAGTAAAATTACTCATTCATTAAGCTCCCCGGGGTAAAAACAAGCAGATTTGCATCCTGTGCATGCATCAATCATCAGGCCGCTCAGGTCCCTGAGCTTCTGAGGGTACCTGCCATCATTCTGCCTCTATACTCTCAATCGTCCCCTCAAGGTTACTGCCTATTGCCTTGCCTTTCTAAGAGGATAAGAGCTGCATGCTGAGTGCATCTGCTGGTCTGTCGCCAGGCGGGACAAACTTCAGGTTTCAGCCCCGACTGTGAGGGGAAAACAGTTAAAAAGGTCTCAGCTGTGAAGAGGGAGGTAAAAAAGCAGTGACTTGTTTTGAAGCCGCTGGTGTAATCATCATGGCAGGTGGGGAAAAACGTGTGCTGGTCAGACCAAATACAAAAAGCAATCAATTTGGAAAGACAAGAGGAAGGGAATAAAACAGTGAGGAAAAGGAATGGTTGCTCCATTCAGAAAAAAAAGTGACAATTGGAACTGATTGCTGGATTTCCATAAAGAATGTGTCCAAAACTGTCAATATTCTGCAAATTTAAAAAATGCAAAGTTTTGCGGAGGTGGTATTTCCCTTACATAACAAATACAATCAAAATTGCATGTTAATACGTTTGTTTATGCGAGACGTCTGAAAAAACAACATCCCAGCAGTGGATGTAAACACATGACATACGTCCATATTTCAGCCATTTCAGCTATAGTAGGCGCCATCATCCTCCAAAACACAAGTTTTTTGAAATTCAAGGGTTTCCATTTAGATAATTTACTTTTCGAATTGCAAGTTAATGGTTAATGGAAACACAGCTGACGAAAGTCATACAACAAACCAAAGAAGCAATGAAAACAGAGAGAATCCTACCAAAAGGTTAAAGGCCTTTTTCAAACTATGAGGTTTTGTGCACAGTTTTCAATTATAAGAAAAAAACAGAAATGTTCCAACAAGAATATCTGAAATTTTGAATTCCTGTCCATCACTAATTTATGTTCTCTAAGACTTCAAATCCAAAAAACATCCCAGTAGATTTTTACTGAATGGTGCAAAGAAAAGCAACAGTGCATTACACTAGCATCAGGTCAGGGGATTTCTCCCCACTTCAAACTTTCTCGTTTTCTGCACTCACTCCAGCCACCAGCCGACATCAATGATAGATGAGGTCTGCATCAATCATGAATAAGCGGAAGGGAAAGATCTAAACACACGGTCCCAAGTCGGAAGGACCAATATGAACAGGCTGGAGACCTCAGAGCACCACGCAACGTTAAAGACTCTGGAGCGGGGAGCGCAGACATCAACGACCCCCAGCTGAGACCTCTGAAGAGCAATTAGACCCTTAAAGTTGTGGATCAAAGCTTTAAAACTAAAAATCTGGTCATCAAAGCAAAGTTTCCAGACGAAAAATTGCGCAGAACAACATTCCAATGGCAAATGCGTGGAAGCAAAAGCATCAAACTCAGCTGCCAAGCTGGGAGCATCCAGAAGGGATTTAAGTACACAGTCGTGATTGATTCAATTAAACTTAGACACTTCAACACTGCAAGCGGAAGTATGCCGTCTGAGCTGGCAAGGCAGCTGTTAACAAATCCTCTGGATGAGTTTGCAAAGTGCCACACTCAGCAGTGCCTTCATTAAACCTATCCACACACACACCTGCCACACATGGACTGCTGGAGTTTGTCCGTCGATATCATTCGACACATTTAGTGCCTTTCATTCATTGTCTGTTGTGCCTCAAAGGAAGAATTAAAGGCCAGTAAGTTAAGAAACAGTAATAAAAGAGCCAATTGGATTTGTCAACACACAGCAAAGGCAGGAAACTGTGGAATGGTATCCTTAAACTCGGCCTCTTCCTTTTTTTATGAAGCACAGAAATATCTAATCTAAAAATGAATTACCTTGAGAAACTATTCACCAACTTTTCTTCAGGCTGCATCCACAAACTTAAGTATGTGGTAAAATAAAATAAAAAAGCTTTGAACAATCGTGACTCAGAAGGAAAAAGATGCAGTTTCACATTTTCTAACAAAACTCTGAAACCTATAAAAACCCTCTTTACTCTGATGCTCATAAATTATAGATTATTCAACTCCCTGCCCTCAGGAGTCACTTATTTATAGTCTACCTGTATGCGACTTAATTCAGTTTTAAATTTGATCATTTAGTGGAAGTTTGTTAGAGAACATTACAGGGAAAACAAAAAAAGCATGAGGAACACAGGAGACTGTGAGGGATAAAACGACAGAGGGATTTAAAGCAGACTGAGGTTCCAAATTAATTCATATATATGATCAGGCCAGCATCTGAAAGGGGCATCAGACCTGGAATCCTACAGGTTTAGGCCATCCACCAACCAGATCACATCTGGCTGTTCATGAAAAACAGTAAACAGCTGCAAGAAGTCCAGCTTAAAGGCCATGCTGCAAACACAACAAGCAGGAGAAGATTCTGACCAATGCTTTACAATGAAACATGGTGGTGGCAGCATCATGATGGGGAGTGGCAGACACAGACATACCCCAAAAAGAAAGCTAATCTAAGCAGCTTTATTGTAGAAAATACTGAGAGGTTAAATACAAATTAAACTTTTTCTTTTTCCTTTACCATTAAAATATTTTTATCTTAGTCTTTCACTAGCAATAAAGTACTCTGACGTTTGCTGGAAGAACATAAGATTCAAGAAGTACACTTTTTTTTTTGCGCTGGATGTGTTGGAAAGTGAGAAACTACAATGATCGGTCCCATTTATCACCGCAATAATGCGTCAGGGCGCAGATTGAACGCATCCATCCATTTCACCCACCTGGCCTCACGGTCTTCAGGCGCACCGGCTCCCGAAAGTGTCTGATGACCGCCAGCGTGTCTCTGTTGGTGAGTCCGCTCACCGGGGTGCCGTTGACCTCCAGCAGCACGTCTCCGCTGCAGGGCAGCCTCCCGGCGTGGCACACCACCGCCTCGGGATCCACGCGTCCGATGTGGGGGAACTCTCCGAGCTCCGCGCCGCCTCGCACCTCCACCACGGCGGTCAGCTCCCCGGAGCCCCCCCACGACACGGAGCACTCCTGCACTTTCACGAACCAGTGCTTTTTCTTCTTCAGCGTCTTGGACATCGCTGCTTGGTGGGAGCTTTATGGCCGCTCAGGAGTTGGAAGTCCCGGGAAGGAGAAGCAGAAAAACCTCTTTGGAGCCTCAGAGCGCAGAGACGCACGGATCGATCATTCCGGATCAGAGAACTTCAGCCTTATGGTTGTTAGAATAATCCATTCCAGGGGAGGAAATGCAGCTCGGCTCCCTGTGAGAGTGCGATCCTTTCTGTGAATTACTGGAGCATCGTCTGGAGCGTGACACCAGCTGCGTCAGTGCCGCAGTGGAGCGAAGGGCGCAGCTTCTGATGCCACCCCCAATTTACAGCACCTGGAAAACAAAAGCCAGCGCCTTCCCACGCTGATGAGCCCACTGTGAACTGAGACTGTGCGTGGATCCTGCGCCACAGAAAGAAAGAAACAAAAAAAGGGTTAGATCCCAGCTTTAGTTCCCAGAGATGTGTAACTCCTGCCTGGAAGAGTTAGGAGAGAAAATCCAGGAAAACTTCTTCTTCTTCTTCTTCTTATGGGATTTTATGGCGGTTGGCAGACTTGTGAATTGTGCATTACCGCCACCAACTGATATGGAGTAAAGCAAGATAACAGGAAACGATTCACCCCCCCCCCAAAAAAAAAAAAAAAAAAAAAAAAAAAAAAAAAAAAAAAAAAAAAAAAAAAAAAAAAAACCTGTGTAACTTAAACCAACATAATACTAAATCACATTTGCCCATATAATTTTAATTTACTCTAGGTCATCTTAACTCTGCCAGTTTCTGATGGTCCCATCGGTCCTCCCATCATACTTCCAACCATCTCCCAGTTCAAATCTTTAATGTCCAGATATTTTTCTGCAGCCTTCACTATTATTTTGATTTTTTCCGTTTTTTTTGTTGTCTGTGCAGTACAATTAATTACTTCTACCATGAAAAGAACAAAATTTGTCTTTTTAACAATAAGTGAGTCTTCATTAATTTTTGGAGATTTCTCTAGAGGTTTGGAATTTGCTGTGTGTTGAACTGTAGGTTTGGGTTTTTCTGACTGAGATGGGATCCTTTTTGCAGCTTCAGCGTAGGTTATTCCGAGCTCAAATTTCATTTTTTTAATTTCCTCAGACCTTTTGCTTGCTTCACAGCCGCGATAGGCAGCAGTATGTTCTCCACCACAATTACAGCATTTTATTTTAGCTTCTTTTCCACATTTTCCGTACTCATGTTCTCCTGCACACCTTCCACACCTCTGTTTCCCTTTACAAACTGCTGCAACGTGACCGAATTTTTGGCATTTGAAACATCTCAATGGTGGAGGATTGTAGATTTTGACATTATAGCTTATGTAACCGATGAATACTTTGCTTGGTAATTGCTCTTCTTCGAATTTAATTAGCACAGATAAACTGTCAGATCTTTCTCCGTTTCTTGTTGTTTTTAACCGTTTTACTTCTTTTACTTTTGCACCGCTTATGTTTTCCAGAATCTCTTTTTCAGAAATTTTTAGAGGAACTCCTCCAATGACTCCCCTGCTGATCTTTTTGTTCTCCATTAGGCTGCACTGAACTCTTATCCCGTCAATTTTGTTGATACGTATTGCTTTGCCTTGCTGGGCGCTGTCTCTGCAGTTAATTAGCAGGTCTCCACTGTACAGAATTCTGGCACCTTTGACTTCTCCGACAAGTTTATTGATGGTTTTTGTTAAGTGAACCGGATTCCAATTTGTAAAAGAGTCTGCCTGATTAACGACTTTGAATTCATTTTGTTGTGCTGTGGAATGTATGGAATGATCATCACTGGATTGTTCTGAACTAGATTCCCCTTGAACTGATCTCTGTTTTTTCCGCTTTTTCTCATTTTTTGATGTTGCTATTTTCCAACCTTCATTGTCACTATTTCCCTCTTCCATCCCACAAGAATCGCTTCAGGAAAACTTCCAAATGTGATTTTCCTTAAAGAGTGATATTAAACAACTTTATTCCAAGCACCTGTTCTTCCTTCTTTGCTCTCAATGCTCCCTCCTCCTCCTTTACTGTGACATCAACGAGGAAACCCTTGGAAACGCGCAAACACACCTGGCCCTCCTCTCCTCTGCAGATCCCGCTCTGCGCGTCAGCCACGCAGCTTTTTAGATGCTGGAAAAACTACCCAGCAGCATTAGACTTGATCCGATTATGCTTCGCTCCATAACTTTTTTTCTTTTTTTCACCCTTTTCCGCGTTTCTCTCCTGACGGCAGGCTGTTCTGTCCAATCGGACACTGCGGGGCGGGTCTTCAGGAACTTTGGATCGGGCCAATGGAGGATGACCAAAGGCGGGCGTCAGTGTTGCTTTGCGTTTCCATGGAGTTATTGTCCAAACGGAGTTCCCGCACAGGGGGCCCCTGTTTTTATGGTGGACATTAAAGTTCAGAACCTTTTATTTCATTGGTCAGGGGTCGTGATGCCTTTCCAAAACCAGACGCTGCCAAATTTTGATTGTTTTAAAACCTTATCACTCCTTTTTTTTACTTTTATGAGGCAAGTTTGGGAAAACTAAAGACTGGTTGTTTTTTATGGTGCAATGTCGCCCCCTACTGGCTGATAATGTGTGAAGCACCAGTAGTAATAGAATAGAATAGAATGGAATGGAATAGAATAGAATAGAATAGAATAGAATAGAATAGAATAGAATAGAATAGAATAGAATAGAATAGAATAGAATAGAATAGAATACAATACAATACAATAGAATAGAATAGAATAGAATAGAATAGAATAGAATAGAATAGAATAGAATAGAATAGAATAGAAAACCCACTTATTGTCCCACAATTCTGGTGTTTTACAGCAGCAAAAAGATTATAGAAAAGAAAATTTACCTTTGAAAAAAATATAAGAATAACATAATAATAATAATAGTGAATAGTTAAAAGATAAGCAATAAAATACTATACTGTAAAGTGCTTTAACAATATAAAAGTGTGCAGCTTGAAAATAAATAACAAATATACAGCTATGGACATTTTTAAAGTAATAGATATCTTATCTTTCGCTGAAAAGTCATATTTTTTTGACAAAGAAGCTGATTGTAATTAAATTTAACATCCACATTTTAAGATCAACATTTTTTTCCTCTGTTTCAATTTAGTTCACTTTACTCTAATAACACTAATTCCGTCCAGTACCATACCATACCAACTTTATTTATGAAGCACTTTATACACCGAACAGGACCAAAGTGCTGTACACAATCATAAAATACAATAAAATTATAAAATAGAGAAAAAACGAGTGTAAAATACATATTAGTATACAAAAAGAATAAAACAAAGTAAAACCTCTCAAATTGTGCCAAAAGCCAAGGAAAAAAGATGAGTCTTAAGAAGGGACTTAAAAACAGCAAGAGAAGAGGCCTGTCTTATGCTCAGAGGGCCTCAGTAGCCACTAATCCACATGTTACATGATAAATATACAATATCCAAATATTTAATAAACTAGAATATGATCAAAAAGATAATTCAACTCAGTAAAAAAAATGATAGACTGAATTTATATTGAATTGAATCATGTAAATTTAAATTTACAAATTTAAATTTACATGACAATTTACATTGTCAGGGTTTCATCAACAACAACATTTAAATTGTCATGTACATTTTCATAAGGCCTAGGCCTAGATGCAATATGCCTTGAAATTCTAAAAAGCAAAATGAATAAAATGTCAAATAAAATAATTGAAAACAGATTAAGCATTATATATTTTTAAATGCATTTATTTATTTATATAACACTATAGCTAAAACTCCTTAAATTACAGCCAAACCCATTTACACAACAGATAAAAACCACATATCTGCCACATATCTGACTCAATAACCATTAAAACAACTATTTTCATTCATTTCAGACAGAACTATTCACAGACTGGATTATTTTAAACTGCACTTCCAATTTTCACCACTGCTCGGCACCAAGTAACCTTTCCTTTGATCACGGAGCGACTGGCTTGCTTCATCTCGCAATGAATCCTGGGTAAACATAGGATACCGATGATACATCGGACCCGTCCTTCAAATCGGGCAAAAAGAAGGACGCATTTTAAGGCCGCATAACGAGGTGTTTTGTAATCCGACCAGACCTCGGCGCCGCGCTATGACGTAATCGCCCTTCGAATCTGGCCTTCTAAGGACGCGTCCCAGGATTTTGAACAGAGCCACAGCCTTTGTCATCAATATAATACTTCTGGACTTGTTTGAGTCCAGTGCTTAAGCTGTCAGTAGTCACTGCTGCCACCCTCTGGTTTAGGGGGGAACTGATTGTTCTGCCAAATGATTTTAAAGAATCCTTTTAAAAATCCTGAATCCAAATTATGACGTGGATCATCACCAAAATTTCATTGATTGTTCCTTGGTCTGAGGTGCACCTATGTTAAAGATTTTATCAACATAACATAACTTTTGAAGTTATCCTGTACACAGACAGACAAACTAAAAACATCCTCCTTGGCAGAGGTAAATATCATATATAACATGAAATGATAAAATACACAAAATTGAATAATTACATTTGTAACAGTATAAATGAAATAATTATGTTATATAAAACATGTACATGTTGTAGGTTTAGTGGAAGTTAGACGAGCACCCAAATGCAGACATGAGGAGGGAGAGAGGATTTATTGCAGATTTAATTTAGATGTAGAAGATAATCGAAGCACAAATCCAGAAACAATAAACATGTAACCAAACTAGGAGACGCCAGGGAAAAACATACATGAGGAATGACGTAATGAAGAGAATCGAGGAATGAGGAACTACCCAGGTGGTGCATATATGGGAGACAGAACAAAGAATGGGCTAATCAGCTGATAGGGAGCAGGTGTGGATAGAAACAACTAGAAGGGAAAGGAGACTGGCATAAGGGGGCAACAGAGAGCAACTTAAAAAATACAACATTGCTAGAAAATATTTACGACACAATATGAAAAAGAAATCAAGGACCAAAAAAAAAACACAGAATGACTGTCAAAAAGTAACTGAAAACTCAAAAAGAAACAGAAGTCTACAAAGGACAAAATCATGACAGCATTTATTTATTTATCTAATACATAATTTAAATCATATATATACCATAACATTTATAAAATGCACACTTTAAAATTATGTGTCCTGTTAGATAAGTATAAGTAAATTTGAACTGATAAATTAATTCAAGATTTTTTTTTCAGAAATGTATCAAAATTATATATAATTTAAATAATAATTAAAAACTAATAATTAAATAATTAAATTAAAAAAATAATGCATTTATAAATATTTGCATGTATATAGTTTTTTTTAAATAAATTAATATAATAAATAATTAGTTTGCTAACCTAGTATTTATTTTAGTGTTAAATATTAAGGTTGCTAAATAAATGTTGAATGAATAAATTAAATATTTACTTGCTAGATTAAATATTTAACTTGCTAATTAAATGTTTAACACAGGGCAATATTTGAAAATGTACAAATAGCATGGTAAATATGTATGACTTTGGAATATTAAACCCCATTTTCCCTTATTTGAGGTTTAATAAACAAAAAATTGTTGTGAATATTTGACACGGTTACTTTACAGAAAGCAGCCAAAGGCTTTATTCTGCAATCAGTAAAGATCCAAAATAATCCAAGAAACATAAGGAAAAATCTGAGACGATATAGCCAAAGACGACCAAATTAAATCTATTAGGGCTGCTCCTTTTTAATTAATAACAGCATGTAACCACTGCTGCCTAGATGTCCTTGTCAACATGGTCAGTTTATTTATCAGACTCTGTTTCCATTTATACTATTTGCTTTTATTTGTCATGCCTCTAATGAAGCTACCAAACATATAGAGAACATTGGTCAGCTGGCCCATTTAAATGTCAGTTATGAGGTGCTTTGCATGGATCATTTACGCTTAAATTTGGATGTAAGGATGGGCAAAAATGAGGTGGAGTCTTTTGCACAAACTATGATTTATAGGGATGACTGGCCAGCTACAGCAACAAGTCTCCCTTTTACTCCGATCAGAAACGTGCTTTATTGATAATATTGATGGTTCCAATGCAATGTTTATTGCATCTCTTTTTTCTGTTTTTTGTTTGTTTGATATTTTGTCTTCCAAACACAACCAGCTTATTTTGTCTGTTTCGTCTAATTATTTTTTCTGAAAGGAAGCTGAGCAAATATCTGCAAAGTGCTAAAAAACCGGTTCCTTTTTGAGTGATGAGTCACAGAAGAACCACTTAAGGAAAGCTGTTTGCTACAGAGAGCTTTCATCTTTTTAAAAGGGTGAGAACATGTCTCTTGGTGCACATGCTAATACCAGCATCTTTCTCTATGAAGTGGAAACAGCAAGTGTGAAAAACGGCTCCTTGCGTCACAGTTGCTTCTTTTTAATCATTTACAGTCCATCAGATGTAGCAGACAGTTTTGGTTGTCAGTGTTTCTGCTGCTGTTAATTTATCTTATTTCAGGTTTTTCACTGTGTTAAAATGAGATGTGAGGATGGTTGTAGCATGAGCGGAATACCAGTGAAGAGCAGTAAGATCTGAATAGCTAGGGAAGCTGCTTATCGGAAACTATAAAGCGAATCTCTGGTCTGAGCGAAGAACATCTCCACCTTATATCCTATTGAAGACTGGGGTAAAAAAAAAAGAGGTTGGCTCAAGTAGCTAAGGTGTGAGCAGAAAAATGTCGGAAATGAATTTTATTTCATTATTGTTGCAAGCAAATACATCTTGTTAAGGTAAATTTGAAATATAAAAACTTTTTCAGATCTTATTTTTCTAAAAAAGATTTTTAGGTTTTACATTTCATTTTTTTTTTTCTTTTTTGAGACTTTAGCTTTACATGTTGCATTTTGTTAATGTTGCTTATAGATCTGGTCACATTCTTTTTTTTTTTGTTTCTGTGGTTGTGCTTTCCTTCATATTTCTATTTGTCTGAATGGATGTTAGCAACAACAGTTTTATTGAGACAGATGCACGCATGCCTTGGGAGAACATGCAAACTCCATGCAGAAAGGCTATGAAGTAAGATCACTATCAAAATAAACTTGTACATAAAAGCACAGTTTTGTACATATTAGTCAGAAGTTGTGCATAACAATCATTTGTAAACTCATAATATTTGAAATCTCATGCAAAACATAAAGCATATAGTTTAGATAGTTACAACTTCCATAACTAATGATTCTGACTAATATGTACACA